AATTCAAAATGCATAGAGGTAAAGTAATAAGTTAATTTTATTGTTATTATTAAGATATAATTTTACATAAAAGTTGGTAAGTTTTACTTTGTATTTAATTTGCAGAACTGCCATAATTCATCTATTATTCTTATGAAACTCATAAACAATATATTCCTACCATGTCCATCTTATACTATATTTATAAATGTGCCTGACAAGTAATGCAATTAATAAAACAAAAATCAAACCAAAAATACCCTGTAGATAAATTTATTTATAAATAGTACTTTTGTTATAGTAATAAACCAAGAGAACCCTAAGAAATAGTTAAAATTTTGCCAAAACTAGAAGTGAAATTATATAATCAAAGTATTCCAAATGAAAACAAAAACCTACCAGCCAATGAATTTATCCATTAACAACCTATATCAACATTTACCACACACAGAAGATGAGAATAAATCTGATGTGCTTTCCTACTTATCTCCCTAGAAAGTATAATCACCACCATGTCTCATAACTGAATGAATTTATTGTTCAATAAAGGGAAATATGAAAAAAAAATTATGCATTTTGTGAACTGCAAACTATACTCATTAGGGAGGCAGAGTAGGGAAGATGTGTACCAACCAGATAACCTAGAAATTTGGTTTTAATGGCTGATACTGAAGGTGACCCAGGATTAAGTACTGAATCAGAGCTTCTACAGAAAATCAGGGTTATACCCTCAATGGAAAGTATTTTTCTTTAAATATATTCTGCAGAGGCAGACAGAACATGTCTATTTCAGCCTTGGCTCTATGTGAAGAATAAAAACAGCATCCTTTGGAAACTACTGGTCCTAGACTAGACATCGTGCCACTCTGGGCATGAATTCACCCTACACATAAGGTCCCAAAAAAACACATGCCAAAATTTTAATTTAAAATGGACCAAGGTTGTTAGGCCCCCAGGGTCACACATTCTCTGTAGAGCAGGATAGGCAATCTAAGACTCAAGGGAGCCAAATATGGAACAAAGCCATGCTTATTTGTGTATGTATTGTTTGTGGCTGCTTTCATGCTTTAACAGAAATGACTAGTTGTGATAAAGACCATATGGCCTACAAAGCCTAAAATATTTACTATCTGGCCCTTAACAGAAAAGATTGAGACTCTCGTATAAAATACTGACAATAAGATCAAATGTATTTAAAACAAAACAAGATGAATTAAAGCAGTGGAAAACAGTGGCCTGTATATTGGAGGTTGATCAAAGGGTAAAAGTATTGGTTAACCTCAGATTTCACTTTTTAAACACTTCAAAAATCAATACCTCTAGATCAAGTACAAGCATGGTGATAGTTTAAGTTTGAATCTTCCTCTTATCCGCAGAGAAGACATATAAAACAATAAGGAAAACATGAAGGTAAAGTGAAAGAAAAAGAAAACTAAAAGTCCAGAGAAACTAGAAATGAGAAAAAAAATAAAAACTACAAATCAAGTGTGAATATGCAAAAAGCAAGTGAAACCATGAGAGTCACACAGAAGAAGCCACAAAAGTACAGAAAAAATAAGATGATAAACACAGAGTGTGGAAGAAGCCTAAAGGTGGCAGATCTCAAAAATACTACGCTCCTGGGGCGCCTGGGTGGCTTAGTCGGTTTAGCGTCCGACTTTCACTTGGGTCATGATCTCGCGGTTCGTGGGTTCGAGCCCCGCGTCGGGCTCTGTGCTGACTGCCAGCTCAGAGCCTGGAGCCTATTTCAGAGTCTGTGTCTCCCTCTCTCTCTGACCCTCCCCTGCTCACGCTGTCTCTCTCTCTCTCCTAGAAATAAATAAAAATATTAAAAAAAAAAAAATACTACGCTCCTTCCCGCCAAAAAATGGCCTTGACTCTCCCTAAACATAAGAGCCATAATTAAAAAGAAGAAGACAACAGAGTGACACAAAGTATACAAAAACTGGATGGAATCACAAAGCAAAACTCAACTTTTTCTTGTACACAAGAGATACATTTAAAACAAAGTGATTCAGGGGCACCTGGGTGGCTCAGTCAGTTAAGCGTCTGACTTTGGCTCAGGTCATGATCTCACAGTTCGTGGGTTCGAGTCCCGCATCAGGCTCTGTGCTGACAGCCAGCTCAGAGCCTGGAGCCTGTTTCAGATATTATCTCCCTCTCTCTCTGACCCTCCTCTGCTCATGCTGTCTCTCTCTCTCAGAAATAAATAAAACATTGAAAATTTAAAAAAATAAAAAATAAAAAAATAAAACAAAGTGATTCTGAAAGGTTAACAACAAAGAGAAGGGCAAAAGTTTACCAGGAAAAGACTGAAGCCCCTCCCACAAAAAACAACAAAACATTAATATCACACAAGGTAGAAACCAAGTCAAAAACATTACACAAGCAAAGCAATTTATAATATTAAAAGATACAACTTGCATCTTTTATAAAGTATAAATTCCAGGGTATAAGGAGAAATAGGCAAAAATAAACTAACATTTTTAGACTTTAATTCAATTTTCAGAGCATGACAGAAAATGTACAAAAAAAGGAAGAAATCAAAATTCTAAACAGATGTATATAGATAGAGAGAGAGAGAGAGATATCAAATGCCATACCTTGATATTATAAGATTTACCTCCTTTTCAAATGCCTATAAAATTTGAAAATTGGCCCACAAAGGAAATCTCAATAAATTACAAAAAGTAGAAATAATACTTAGAACATTCCCTGAACACCATAATAAAACCAAAAGTTAGTAACAAAATCAAAAACCAAAACAACCTTTCTACATAGAAAATTTGTAACTCTTGCTTAAACAACTCTTGGGCCCCTCTAAAAAATGTGATGACAGTCACATCTATTTCAGTGCCACCATGGCAATAATGTGTGTACATAGCAGTTTATTCAATGTAGCACTGTTTATTAACCATTATACTCCAAAATGTTCCCATCAGCAGGAGTTCTCTTTAGATTTCTCCTATTTTCACAGTAAAATAAGCAGTAAGGTCATCGGTGGAGACTAAGGAGAAGGAAGTGGTTGGAAGTTTGCAAGAGGAAAATTTATGAAATAGTCAACTTGGAGAGTTGGAGGAGAGACTGGTGATTATGAACTTAAACCTGGGTAAGGTTAGAAATACAGGTAAGAGAGTGATAGTGAAAAACTGACAGGAGGCTTGATGGACAAAAGGCTCTAGGAAGGCTGGAGAATTGTCAGAGCTTGGGTACTAGAAGTATTATGCTGAAAAGATCGGTGGCACTTGAAGAGTAAGATATCTGAAATGGAAATTATAGAGATTCACTGTGGTACAGAAGGTCAAGAGTACAACAAAGGGAGAGTATGACTCAAATAGGATGGAAAACAAGGTCTCTGAAAGAGAGATTTAAAAAAAAATTGAGAAGGGCACCTGGGTGGCTCAGTCAGTTAAGCATCTGGCTCTTGACTTTGGCTCAGGTCATGATCTCACAGTTCATGAGTCTGAGTCCCACGTAGGGCTCTCTGCTGACAGTGCAGAATCTGCTAGGAATTCTCTCTCCTTCACCTTCTGCTTCTCCCCTACTTGTGTGCTCTGTCTCTCTCTCTCTCTCTCTCAAAACAAATAAATATATTTTTAAAAATACCTGAAAAATTAACTTAAAATTATTTTTAAAATTGAGAATCTAAGTATTAGAAGTATTTAAGTGGATACTGAAATCAAAAAAATATTTGTCTAGGGGCACCTGAGTGGCTCAGGCGGTTAAGCATCCAACTTTGGCTCAGGTCATGATCTCACAGTCCATGGGCTCGAGTACCACGTCGGGCTCTGTGCTGACAGCTCAGAGCCTGGAGCTGCTTCAGATTCTGTGTCTCCCTCTCTCTATGCCCCTCTCCTGCTCGCTCTCTCTCCCTCAAAAATAAATAAAAGCATTTAAAAAAAAAATTTTAAAGAAAATATTTGGCTAATGTATGCAGGACAGAATAATCAGCCACAAACTGTATTTTTTGAGGAACAAAACATGAGGAGCAACAAAAGAGTGAAGATGTAATAGGCGGCTCAGTGTGATGATGGAAGATGCAAAGCTGAGTGCTTCAAAGGAGGAAGGGGTGAAATTAGCATAACATGGCACTAAGAAGGAAGGATGCATAACCACTCTCTGCCCACCTGCAGTGGGGGACCCTGAAGACAAAACAGATCACCTAAAAGGGCTGCAGGGGGATGAGAGGAGTATTTAGAAAGTGAGCCTTCTTCTGAGCACATTAAAGGCTCTCCTGTTGATCTGCAAGCTCGATTTCTCATTAACACTACACAAGGACTCTAAATAGCTGGATAACAGTTGTCTATACACAAAAGAGCCAAAAATTTGAGTTCATAATACTGACCAGGGCCAGAAATGGAATATGTTCTTCAAATAGAGACCATATTCGTAGGCAATTTTGTTAATCTTATAAGTGTTTGAAAATATCATGAAGAATTAAAAGAAAAACAAAGTACCAGAAAAACGAAGAAGAGTATGTAAGAGCATAGTACAAAAAGTCATATGTAGATCATCTAAGTCACCTTCACCTACCAGATAATAATCTCTTATAAAAGCCAACAGATTATCCTCAGGAAGCTTACATTAAAAGAGTAATACATAGATAGAGATACTGCAGTAAGATTAGAAATAGAACCCTGTAAAATAAAAATCCTGAAATCATGGAATGCATAGTAAAGAGACTGGGTTAGTTGTAGTTCTTGTTCATAAGTAAAATCCAAAGAAACAGCACCATCTGTTGGAATTTCTCATATTTATAAATATTCTCAATTCTTGAAAAATACGTGACTGGTGTGTAACATTTCTCCACTTTCAGCTAAGAAGATAAACTTAAATATTAATAAACAAAAGCTAACACAAAATCAAAAGGTTCACATTAAAAAGTATTAAATCTTAGCTAATAATTCTGATTTAAAATAACTCACTATTTGACTAAATTCATATGAAGATTTTATTAAAGATAAAAATATTCCCAACTAATAAAGAAAAGAGTATACAGTTACAGTTTCAAAGTAACTCACAGATATGGTATTCCTGTATGCTGCTTGTATAACCATATATTGAAGAATATCCAAATATTACGATCATGACAACATCTCTACTATCCAACTCCATAATGTGAGCTGAATGTCCCTCCACAGCGTACTGCTGACCATGTCCAAGAACAGTAGGAGTTTTTGTACTCCATGACTGACTATGTATGTTAAAAACCCATAATTCATCTGTGACATTGCCATCATTTGTTTCAATTCTGCCTCCATACATAAAGATGTTTTCCTGTAAATTAAAAAACATGTATTAATAAGCAAAATAGTCATATCTTGGCAATATATATTAATTAAAAATAAATCAATTTAAACTTCAGTAATCACTCACAACATGCATAAGATATATTTCTTATTTATAAAAAGTCAAATGAGAATCAATGCTTTTACTTACAAGAAGGGGGAAAAAACATGTTTTCAGCAAGTTCCCTTAAGACACTTTATTTAAAACAGCTATATTATATAGTTAAATTAACCATGTATAATTATCTTAGTTGTTGAGTTCCCAGTTCTTTAAATTTTACCATATACGTGTATTGCTTTGTGCTATTCTTATTTACTGTTTTCATCAAACACTGTCTACCAAAAAGGGAGATCACACTATGATCTGGTAGATCCACTATGTAGAGCGCATTTTTATTACATTTTTATTACCACTTCTCATGACTATGTGCAGACACTTTATAGCACTTATAAATTATACAAATAATTTTAACCACATATGATTGAAATGAGCGATACACAAATGACATACAACATTACTATTTCCATAACCTAGGAAAACAAAGGAATTTCATCAACCTAATAAAGAGCATCTAAGAAAAACACACAGCTAATATCATTACTTAATGGTGGAAGACTGATACTTTCCCCCTAAGGTCAGGAACAAGACAAAGATGCCCCCTTTTGCCACACGTACTCAACACTTTATTGGACGTTTTAGCCAGAGCAAAGAAGCAAAAAATGAACAAGGCATCCACATTGGAAAAGAAGTAAAATATTTCTGTTCATAAATTATATGAATTTGTATATAGACAATCCTAAAAATAAAAAATAATAACAACAATTAGAAATAAAAAATAATTAGAGGTAATAAATGAGTTCAGTAACTTTGCAGAATACAAAATCAATGTATAAAAATATCTATTATATTTCTATACACTTCAAATGAACAATCCTGGGGTGCCTGGGTGGCTCGGTCAGTTAAGTGACTGACTTCAGCTCAGGTCATGATCTCACAGTTCATGAGTTCAAGCCCTGTTCGGGTTCTGTGCTGACAGCTCAGAGCCTGGAGCCTGCCTCAATTTCTGTGTCTCCCTCTCTCTATGTCCCTCCCCTGCTCGTGTTCTCTCTCTCAAAAATAAAAAAAATACATTAAAAATACTTTTTAAAAATTGTGATTGATAAAAATTTGCCTTCAGTAAATAAATCAAAAACATTTTTAAAAATGAACAATCTAGAACTGAAACTACATAAACAATTCCATTTACAAAACACCGAAAATACTGAGAAATAAATTTAACCCAAAAAATTACAAACATTGTTTTACAGATTTTATTTTAAAGTAATTTCTATACCCAGTGTTGGGCTCGAGCTCACAACCCCAAGATCAAGAGTTACACATTCCACTGACTGAGCCAGGCAGGTGCCCTAAAAGAAATTACAAATTTAGACTCTGAAAGCTACAAAGCATTGTTGAAAATAATTTTTAAAGATCTAAATGAATGGAAAGACCTCTCATGTTCATGGATCAAAAACTTAATAGAGTTACGATGTTAATAGTCTTCAAACAGATCTACAGCTCCAATGCATTTCCACCAGAATCCTGGAGGGCTTCTTTGTAGAAACTGACAAGCTGATTCCAAAATTCACAAGCAACTGGGTTGCAATTCTACAACCCAGAATATCCAAACAATCTTAAAAAAGAAGAAGGAGAGCCCTGGTTAAGCATCCAACTGCAGTTCAGGTCACAATCTCACAGTTTATGGGTTCAAACACTGATCCTGTGCCTCAGAGCCTGTTATCTCCCTCTCTCTCTGCCCTTCCCCAACTCACACTCTGTCTCTGAAAAAATGAAATGTTAAAAAGTTCATAAAGTAACTGGGGGATTCACACTTTTTGATTTCAAAACTTGCTATGAAGGAAAAGTATTCAAGACAGTATGCTACAGGCATAAAATCAGGCATATAAGTCAACAGAAATGAGAATCCCGAAATAAATCTATACATCCAAAGTCAACTGATACTTGACAAGAGTGCCAAAACCACTCAGGGAGAAATAGCCTCTTCAACAAATGATACAAAGAGAACTAGACAGTCAACATGCAAAAGACTGAACTTGAACCCTTACTGCATACCATGTACAAAACTTAATTCAAAATGGATCAAATAAAGACCTAAATGTAAGAGCCAAACCATTATAAACAGACCTAAATGTAAGAGCCAAACCATAAAACTCTTGAAAGAAACATGAGGTAAATCTTCATAGCCCTGGATTTGGCAATGGATTCTTAAATACAACAACAAAACACAGGCAACGAAAGAAAAACAATAACAAATTGGATTTCATCAAAATTAAAAACTTTTAGGTTTCAAAAGACACTACTCACATGGGAAAAATATTTGCAAATGATGACTCTGAAAAGGTACTTGTATCTAGAATATATAAATAACTCTCACTTCTCAATAATAAAAAGACAAATAACCCAATTTAAAATGGGCAAAGGACTTGAATAGACATTTCTCCATAGACAATAGAAAAAGGCAATAAACACATGAAAAGATGACCCACATCATTAGTCAACAGGGAAATGCAAATCAAAACAAAATGAGATACCACTTCACAATCACTAGGATGGCTATGATCAAAATGGTATCAAATAACCAGTGTTAGCATGATGTAGAATAACTGGAACCTTTATACCATGGCTAGTAGAAACTAAAAGGGTGCAGCCACTTTGGAAAACAGTTTGGCAGTTCCTCAAAAAGTTAAATAGAGCTACTATTTGACCCAGCAATTCCCAATCCTATATATATATACATATACATATACATATATATACATATACATGTATATATGTATATATATATGTGTGTGTGTATATATATATACGTGTATATATACATATATATACATATATTATACATATATATACATATATATATATATACACCCAAGAGAAATATAAGCATATGTCCACACAAAAACTTCTACATGACTGTTCACAGCAGCATTATCATAACAGCCAAAAGGTGAAAACAACCCAAGTGCCCATCAACTAATAAATGGAAAAACCAAATGCAGTATATCCATATAACAGAATATTATTTAGCCCTAAAAATGAAATATGGATACATGCTAAAATATACTAGTCATAAACAATATACAACTTAATTTATATGCAACGTCCAGAACAGACAAACTTATAGAGACAGGAAGTAAATTCATGATTGCTTACAGCTAGGAAGATGAGGAGGTTTGGGGTGATAGCTAAAGAGTACAATTTTCTTTGTAAGGTAATGAAAATATTCTCAAATTGATGACACAACTCTGCAATTTTATGCAAATCTGCAAAAGATTATTGTGTAACTCTGAATAGACTAAAAACCATACAACTGTATACTTTAGATGAGTGAACTGTATGCTCTGTCAATTATATCTCAAAAGCTGTTACCAAAAAAAATAATGAATCAAAAAACTAAAATTAAACAAAATTAAAAGAAAAAAAGCATTTATATGCACACATATATATACAAATAGGTTTATTTTATATTTAAAACATGCTTATACATACAAAAAAGAATCGCAGTTTATTCTTTACATTGCTCCTGTAAATTTTCTTAACTAAGCACAGAAAATAGATCTGTTCTCATTTGAAAGTCCTAGTCACACACCACAAATTTTTTTATTCAAAACAAAATAACAGTTACATATCCTATCATTTTAATCATACTATATTCAAGAATTACACAAATACATAAAATAACTGAGTACAATGCAATCCCTATCAAAATCTCAATGACATTTTTGAAGAAATAGAATAATCTATCTTAAAATTCATATGGTACCTTAAGTGACCCTGAAGAGGCAAAACAAACTTGAAAAACAAGACCAAAGGTGGATGTCTCATACTTCCTCATTTCAAAACTTATTATAGGGGCACGTGGGTGGCTCAGTCGGGTAAGCGTCCGACTTCAGCTCAGGTCATGATCTCACAGTTGGTGGGTTCAAGCCCCGTGTCAGGCTCTGTGCAGACAACTCAGAGCCTGGAGCCTGCTTCAGATTCTGTGTCTCTCCCTCTCTGTGCCCCTCCCATGCTCATGCTCAGTCTCTTTCTCTCAATAATAAATAAACGTCAAAAAACATTTTTAATTTAAAAAAAAAAAAACATACTACAAAACTACAGTAATCAAAATAGTGTAGTTCTGGCATAAATACAGACACAAATCAAAAGAATAGAGAGCCCAAAAATAAACCCCTGCATGTATGATGAAATGATTTTCAACAAAGATGCCAAGACCATTCAATGAGAAAAAGACAGTCTTTAACAAATGGAGCCGGGAAAACAGAATATCTACATACAAAAGAATGAAAAGTGAACTCTTACCCAACGCTGCAAACAAAAATTAAATCAAAATGGATTAAAGACCTAATATAAAAACTAAAACTTTAAAACTCTTAAAAGATAATATAGGGGAAAGTCTTCATGACATTGGATTTGGCAATGATTTCTTGGATATGACACCAAAATTCCAGAGAAAAAAAGAAAAAAATAGATAAATTGAACTATGCTAAAATTAAAAACTTTTGTGCATCAAACAACATATCAACAAAGTGAAAAGACTGCCCACAGAATGGGAGAAAAGATTTGCAAATCATATACCTGAGGAAGGAGTTAATATCTAGAATACATAAAGAATACCTACAACTCAACACTTCACACTAGGATGACTGCTATCCAAAAAAAAAAAAAACAAAACAAAAAACAAATAATGAGGACAAGGACATGGAGCAGTTAGAATCCTGAACACTGCCAGTGAAAATGTAAAGTGGTGCAGCTGCTATGGAAAACAATATGGTAATTTCCTCAAAAAATTTAAAATTCAGGGGCGCCTGGGTGGCTCAGTCAGTTAAGCATCCAACTTTCACTCAGGCCATGATCTCACATTTCATGGGTTCGAGCCCTGCGTCGGGCTCTGTGCTGACAGCTAGCTCAGAGCCTGGAGCCTGTTTCAGATTCTGTGTCTCCCTCTCTCTCTGACCCTCCCCTGCTCATGCTGTCTCTCTCTCTCTCTCTCTCTCTCTCTCTCTCACTCAGAAATAAATAAAACATTAAAAAAATACTAAAATAAAATACAATTACAATTGTAATTAATACAATTACATTGCAATTGCATACAATTACAATATAGTTCAGCAATTCCTCTTCTGACTTTCTACCCAAAGAATTTAAAGCAGGAACTTAAACAGTTATACATCCATGTTCACAGCAGAACTGTTTACAAGAGCCAAAAAGTGAAAGCAACTAAAGGGCTATCAATGGATGAATGGACAAACAAAATGTGGTATATCCATGCAATGGAGTATTACTTAGGCTTTAATAAGGAAGGATATTCTAACAAATACTACATGGATGAACCTTGAAGACATTATGCTAAGTGAAACAGGCCAGTCAAAAGACAAATACTGTATGATTCCACTTACATGAGGTACATAGAGTAGTCAAATTCACAGAGACAAAAAGTAGAACACTGGTTCCCAAGGGCTGGGGAAGGAGGGGATGGGGAGTTACTATTTAACGGGCATAGAGTGTCAGTTTGGAAGATGTAAAAAGGTCTGGAAATAATGGTGATAATGACTGTACAACAATTTGAATGTACTTAATACCACTGAAACATTTAAAAATGGTTAAAATGGTAAATTTTATATTATGTGTACTTTATAACAATTTTTAAAAAGTGATTAACGTGATGACTAAGTATAAAGCCATCGATAAAAAACTCAACCTTTATTTTTTTCTCATGTTTAATAAAAAATTGTACTAAAACCTATTTTTTTACTGAAATATTATATGAGATATCTCAAGTTATTGTGATCCACAATCTATTGTTCTCATTAAGTATTTGAAATAAACCTGAGACTTAGTAATTTTTTTCTGTAGGAAGCTTTAACAAAAAACAAGAAAGGAAGGATTGGAATTTAAAAAGCAGGATCCATACCTGATATAAAGCAAGAGAGTGTCCATATCTCTGGAGAGGACCCCTTGACAGACTTCCTACATTCCATATACTGCTTTCTAAATTGTAACTAAAAGTGAAAAAAGAAAAATATTTTATAAGCTAAGATTTATTTCTGTTTTTTTTTAATTTTCATATGCTTTCTTCACTTGTATTCAAGTATTCATTAAATTCAAAAACAATTATAACTAATAAACTCATAATTTCATGTACCACATTAGAAATTTTTAATACTCATTCAAGATATATATACTCTAAATTAGTATTTCAATCACCTAAATGTGTAATATACATTAGTTTGACTAGGCTATTTATTACTGGAATTAATTTGTTCAATTACCTCTAACAATTTCAACCAACTGATTAGCCGAAACAATAAGTGAGCTACCCTGCATTTTTTATTTTTTTTAAGCCAGCTTTTTCTTTTGGAAATAGGAGAAAATTCTCTCCATATATACAATGGCCATTTGCTTTATGTAATCATTTTTATTCTTTTACACACACTGAGTTCGCATTACATAAATTTACCAAGAAGTATATATTTCCTATGCCAAATATAACTTGTTCACAGATCACTTTTTGAAATATAATGAATCTAGTAAGATACAAGCTTCTGTAAAAATAAGGTACTTACAGGATACAAAAAGAAAATTAAATATGTGTGCTACTGGTCTAAATATATAGATATGAAAACAGAAGTTCCAAACTATGAATCTTACAAGCATATCTAACACAGCCCCAGTTGTCATCATGCTATATGCTATTTCCTCAATTTGCCAAAATGTAAACAACAAAGCACTCAACTAAGAACGGACTAGAATGTTGTTTAAGAAGCTCCCTGTCGGGGCGCCTGGGTGGCTCAGTCGGTTAAACTTTAGACTTCGGCTCAGGTCAGAATCTCACGGTTCGTGAGTTTGAGCCCCCCATCAGGCTCTGTGCTGACAGTCAGCTCGGAGCCTGGAGGTTGCTTCATATTCTGTGTCTCCCTCTCTCTCTGACCCTCCCCTGCTCATGCTGTGTGTGTCTCCCTCTCTCTCTCATAAATAATAAGAACATTAAAAAAAAAAAAAAAAAGAAGAAGCTCCCTGTCAATTATTATTTCCCAACTCATCAGAAAAGGTAAGGGAGCAGCTCCCTTCACAAAAAAAAAAAAGTATCTTCAGGATGATGTTTAACTTATATACCACCTTGGAGTTATAAAATACATGTATATGGCATGAATGAGGAAATCAATCAGAATATACCTTCCACAGACTCATATCTACATCTCCCTACTTACCATATCTGCACCCAACACACTTGTTTTTCACTAAGTTGACAAATTTAGGGCTCAGCAAACTACTTCTGTGAAGGGCCAGATGGTAAATATTTTAGGCTTTGTGTACCCCATAACATTCTTCTTCATTTCTTTTCTAGAGCCATTACAAATACAAAAACCATTCTTAGCATATAGGTCCTAGGCCTTTACTTGGCAGTCAGCTGGTGCCTGCTATCAATAAACCAAATTTGTGTTTCTTGTGCACTAGATCCCACAACATTCTAGCAGTTCTCTCATCTCTTTCCTACATCCCTACATCACCACTTTCTGGTCTTACTAGATAATTCCCATCAGTATAAAAAGGTGGTGTTATTTTTCTCCACTTACAAAAAAAAAAGAAAAGAAAAATTTCTCTTAAAACTACTACCCCTTCAAACTATTACCCCATTTCTTTACTTCCCTGTTTCTTCCTTGCCCCTCCCTACAACTCTACTCTCTCTTCAACTAACTCCAATCAAGCTTATAAAAACACAGCTCCAGCTAAACTTTTAGTTAAAATCAACTTCCTCATGCCAAATCCCTGCCCACCTTTCCGTCTTCATTTTCCTGGACTCGGTTAATCATCGGCATTTGATACTATTAGTCAATCCTTCCTCTTCACCTCCTGTTTTCAAAGATACCACACCCTTGGTTTCCCTACCTCTCTGACCACTCCTTTCAGTCTCCTCTGCTGGTTTCTCCTCTTTTCCCCTGACCTCCTAGTGATAATGGTGCCTTAGGCTCAGTTCTTGGTCCTCTTCTCCACCTAGAATTCATTCCTTTGAGGATTTCATCCTAACTCAAGCTCTGTTCTGACTCCTCCTTCCAATCCCAGTATATTCATAACTAGGATAGTGACTCTTCAAAGTCTAAGTCACAGCATGCTCCAACATTCTCATGACTCCCAAAAGATCTACAACACCCTACTCAACCTCTCTCCCCCATTATCCCTGTGATTTCATATTTCCCTCTCATGTACTCTGTGAAAGTCACATGGGCCTCCTCGTTGCTGCTTGAACTCTCTAAGTAGCTCCCACATTAAGGCTTTTGTCTGACTCTTTTCCTGCCTCCAGAGAACTGCACTGATAATGCTTAACCTCCTTCAAGTCTTTTCAATTGTCACCTTTCCCGTGATGCCTATTTTGACAACTAAATTTTAACTGTAGCTCTCTCCTCTTAGGCACTCATGATTTGCTTATCTTGAACTATCTACCTTGCTATCTCTCTATACGTGCATATATATAATTTACTTATAATGTACTTACTTATTATGGTAATTATACTATTTTATAATTGCCTGTCATTCCTCACTAACTCCATAAAGATAGGGACATTTATTATGTCCACTCATTTATCCCAAGTATCAAGCATGCAGTAAATATTAAAAAGTTTGCTATGCCCATAAATACAGGTTAATTCTCACTAATGTCAAAGTATATATGTTCTATAAAGCATTTTCTCTAATTTAATACACTAATATAGAACTTTAATATTACTTACTAAATAATATCACCTTAAAATGTAACATCTATCTCAATTAAACTTTACAAGACATAAATCAGCTTATGGCTGACATTATCACTTCTGAACACTAGCATATATCCTTACCTACAATTGAACTACAATCAGAAAAATAAAAATATTCTCCAAACATGTGAAAACAGTGATTAGGTTACTTCTAATCTGACACCTCATTGCTCAGTAGTACAAAACTAAACACTGTAAGCAAAAGAGATAGGTTACAGATAAAATAAAAAGCTAAACTATCTGATTCAAATGGAAAATATGTAAGTTTAGGAGAGTATAAAGTAGTATTTATCACCTAATTTTAAATATGCTATTAAACTTGTACAGAACCCAAACATTTAATATTTCCATGTCTCCCTGACAATTGTACTGTCTTCACAATTCTCCTTTGCAAACATCACTATTTAATTCAAATTTTTACTTTATTTTCATAGGCTTTTCATTTTCATTAATCATAGTTAATTTTCTTATTTCCACATTTAAATCCTATTATTTCTTCAGGTTCTTTTCATATCTTAACAACTCATTTAATCCTACCAACTGACCTTCAATTCTTTCTACATTTTATCCTTCATATATTGTGATACATAATTCTAATTCTTCAATTAATATTTACCTGTAACTCTTCCTTTTCTTTCTCTCCAGAATTTACTTTATGCTATACTTTAATTTCAATCATAGTCAATCACAGTTTTAAAGTAGTATCCTCTTAAACATAGACTTTTTTATAATGCCCAAATTAACAAGGTTAATATTTTCAGTGGGTACAGCTGCCAGATAAAACATAGGAAACTCAGTTCAATCTGAACTTCAGATAAGCAACCAACAAGGTTTTAGTATGACTCATGCAATATTTGGGACAAAAACAAAAATACATATTTTAAAAATTATATATATATATTGCATATTGCAAAGGGCCTTCATATAATAACAAATTATTCATTGTTCATCTGAAATTCAAGTTTAACTAGGTGTCCTGCTGAATCTGGTAACCCAACTGGGTACACACCATTATGCTATACTGTCAGGGGTAAGTTCTGATTGATTGACTGATGCCCAAGTTGTACCAGTTACAACATATTATGAGTATCACCTCTGAAAACACTGATAATCTAATTATCCTTTCTATTTCCTCTTTTATTCTGTTAATAGATGATCGATAAAATATAATCCCCAGCTGAAAAAAATCAGATAAAGCTGCCATCCAAGTGATTCCTCATATCATGTAACCATGCAGAGGATAATCTCTGTTGAGCCAACAGCAAATGAATGATGTATTTTATAATACTGGCACTGTTTTCCCAAAAGCTTGTAAGGTAAATGCAAACTAAAAGTTCAGGTAAATTAAAATTTACAGAACAAACTGAAGCCATTTTTATACAAGCAATAACACTTCATTCTCAAAAAATAAAAGGTGGCAGGATTCATAATGTCTAATATAGGCAAAGTCCCCTACTTATTTGAAGTTAATGTTTTCATACTCAGAATTTGTTAAAAGGACTCTCTAGAGAGGTAATGAAATTTCAATACAAATAATTAACTATGTGCACAATGGCAAATAATTAACTATGGATATAATGAGTTCATATATACTCAAATCAGTCCCATGGAGCAAGCAGATACTAGCAGTAATGTAACCATTTATAAATTTGGACAGCAATAAAATGTTTAGGATAGTCTTATTGCCAAAAAGAATCAGGTTTAAAAAAAGATTATGAACATTTGGAAAAAAAAAAAAAACTTACTTCAGAACCATTTGAAAAGAACTGTAGTTAAAAGTATATCCACCAATCACCCACATAAATTTCCCATGTAAAACTGCTTTATGGGAAGCCCGACCTACAGAAGGACTGAAGGGTTTAACATTTGGCAGAATCCAGTAAGATTCAGTAGAAGGAACATTCAAAGAACAATCAGGACCTATTAAAAAAAACAAACACAATGCATTAAACAAAGAACTTAGATTATAGAAAAAAAATATGGATTAAGAGAACTTAAGAACTCAATGCTCATGATACTGATAAATGTAATGTGCATAATAAATGGTCTGAAATAGAAGTTACAGAAAAAATTCTAAGAGCAAATATAATGCCTACAGGTGAAAAAAATTCACATAACCAATCAGTCATACATACTATAGTTTGATAGAATTATTTAAATACTATAAAATTTCATATTTACTTTACTTTGCTAGTAGAATATTAGACTGCAAAACAATGTACTCAAATCCCAGTTTGGTCACAGACTACAAGTGTGACCTTGGACAAGTCTGTTTACCTCTCTTATCATCAATCCTTCATCTATAAAGATCAAATAGAAATAATAGTTTATTCCCTAAAGGTTATTATAAATATCTACTTTTTTCAAAGACAGTTAAAATGAAAGAATTTACAACTTGTACACCATTAAACAAATACAAAAATAAAAATTATATTTTCTTAGTATCATTTTTAAGAACAACCAAAACTGGCATCAGTAGGGAGGCTTAATATCCTCAAACAGAAAAAATTATTATGCATAATGAGATAAAAGCTATTAATAAGTGCAGAGTAAATTAAATACTTTAAGTTGAAAATACTGCCTCTACCTATCCATATTCATGATATTACTCATGAGTCTTAATCTTCTCATCTGTAAAATGTAGACTAGCCTAGATAAGGTTTCCCAAACTTACATAACTGAAGGAATGCTCCTAAAGGAAATGCATTTTCCCAAATCTAGGAGTTCATAAATGATTTTAATTCTAATGAAATTAAAATATACTCACACAAAACTAGATATAAACTCTGTCTGAAGTTCTTTTATAAATATAAAACTAACAAAAATTTGTAAATTATATATAAACTTATAAAACCAATAAAATTAATGTCTACCTAATATGATAAGTGACATTGCTTTCTTCTAAGTAAATCATTGGTCCCAAGTTGAAAATAATATTATTCCAGCACCTTTTTTTTATGTTTATTTACTTTTGAGAGAGAGCAAAGGGGAGAGATACAGAGAGAGGGGGAAACAGAGGGTCTTCTGCTGTACTGACAGCAGAGGGCATGACATGGGGCTCAAACTCATGAACCATGAGATCATGACCTAAGCTGAAGTCAGACACTCAACCGACTGAGCCACCAAGGCACCCTTATTACAACACCTTTTTAACATAACTTTAGCATACCTATATTATTTTGACATAATTCTCCCATCACTTTTTTTCCTTTACCTTTTATAAATCTTAAATTCATATACTACACCAAATTATCATGGTCACAAAAGCATCAGAACACTTCAGTAATATCCTTTTTAGTCTATAATAAGCAATACTACTTGGTCAAGTGACATTTTTACTCAATTATAAGATCAATGACTTGCCTTCAATTTGTTAATACCAAAAAGTTTAAGATTATCTTGAATCACAAATTTTTAAAACTTCCAAACAGACCCTGATTTGAGAAACATTAGCCTATACAATTTTTTACTTGTGCACTCACCCCATGCATTCATTTACTCATCTTCAAAGCCCTTTTCTTTTCAATATTTTGGTTCTTGTTTATTTATTTATTTTGAGAAAGAGAGAATGCGTGGGAGGCACAGAGACAGAGGGAAAGAGAAAGAATCCCAAGCAGGATCTGCAATGTTAGTGCAGAGCCCCATTCAGGGCTCAAACTCATGAACTGTGAGATCATGACCTGAGCCAAAACCAAGAATTGGAAGCTTAACCAATTGAGCCACTCAGGCACCCCTCACCTTCAAAGTCCTTTTCAATGTTCACATGCTGTGAGTGTACTTTTCAGGTAAAAACTAGGTAGCACTCTAGATTATCTCTTTGGTAATGACATAATCTTTTAAATCAGATGCAGAAAATGTTACTATTTCTGAGTGAAAAGACTATGAACTATTCCTTGATAATTCAAGAAACATACTGCCATCAAAAATATTTTTTAAGTCCAATTCTAAATCATTTAGAATTCATTTAATTCAGGTTGGCAAACAACAGCCCATGAGCAAAATCCATCCCACTACTTGTTTTTGAAAATAAAGTTTTATTAGAGCATATCATGCTCGGGGTGCCTGCATGGCTCAGCTGGTTGGGTGACCGACTCTTGATTTCAGTTCAGGTCATGCTCTCACATGGTCCACGGGTACAAGCCCAACACCAGGCTCTGCACTGACACCACAGAGCCTACTTGAGACTCTCTCTCCTTCTCTCTCTGTCCCTTCCCCATTCACTCTCTCTCTCAAAATAAATATAAACTTAAAAAAAAAAAGAACACAGCATACCCATCCATTTTAGTGTCACCTATGACTGCTTTTGCACTAGTAAAGTTGAGTACTTACAACGCATATCATATGGCCTACAAAGCTTAACTGCAGAAAAGGTTGCCACTCAGAAATAATAAAGCAAATAGGCTAAAATGTTAACAATAGATGAATCTGGGTAAAGGGCACTTGGGCACTTTTTTGAATTATTCTTATTCTTGCAACTTTTCCATAAATTTGAAATTCTTTCTAAATAAAAACTTAGAAACAGTCTACCACCTAAAGGCAGAGTTGGGAGCAGTAAAATAATACCCAGGTATTACTTGGCAAAGGATTTGATAGAGAATAACAGCATGTAAAATTCTTAAGAGAGTAAGGAATACATTTAAAGCAGTAATATGTCTATCAAATCTGCACTAAAGCAAAATATTTCAGAGCAGGTTTGTGGCAGGGTGAATAACAGCTCCCAAAGATATCTAGGTCCTAATCACTGGAACCCGTGAATGTTACCTTATCTGGCAAAAGGGACTTTGAAGGTATGATTAAATTAGGAATCAAGCTAGGGAATTTATCCTGAATTATCTATGCAGACTCTAAATATAATCCCAAGTGCTCTTACAAGAGAGATCTGAATACAGAAGAAGAAAGCAGTATGAGCACTGAAGCTAGATGCTGTGCAGCAAGCCTTGAGGATGGAGGAAGGGAGCCTCCAGAAGGAGTGTGACCCTGTCAGTGCTGAGGTTTTAGCCCAATGAAATTTATCTCAGTGAAACTGAGGCTTCTTGCCTCAGAACGGTAAGAGATTAATAAATGTGTATTGTTTTAAGACATCAAGCTTATGGTAACTTGTTATAGCAGGTATAGGAAACTAATACTAAGAACTTTATTTATTTATTGTTATTTAATACAGAAAACGGTTTTTTAATTTTACTCAGTTATCTTAAATATCTGATTTTTCTATACAAAACAAATTAGCAGTCAAAATTCTTCCTATCTTTGTTACTACAATATCTTACATAACTTCTAGCAATTATTAGAAGGAATGATCCATAGCCAAACTATTATCCTCATTTAAGTTTATAAATAGGATGAGATTTATGAATATGGCTTAAAAGTTTAAGTTAAGGTAGATGTCTTAATTTGTGGCTTTGTGCATTCTATAAGTAATCTCCCTGAGATGTGCTTACCTCAAGGAAGGGACTCCCTTTTCATAAAAATATATCCATAAAAAATTCTCTATCTACCACTTCCTATGTGATCCTTTATGCAACCTCACTGCATCAACTCTCCCTGCCTTACCCTCTCTATCAATATGGGAATCTCCTCGAGGTAAGCACATCTCAGCTGTCTTGAAAAGGAAGTGATAATTTACATTACATTGGGGATTTTATAAAGATTTAATATGCTACTTCTTCTAGTAGTAGCAGGAGATTTTTGAGAGATATTTGCTGAGAGATTTTTGAGATTTTGAGATTTTTTTGAGGGGAAAAGGCTATTCCTCAATCATAGGGAGTAGAATTATACTCTGATCCCTCCCAAATGCGTATCTCCAGCTCCACAATCCATTTTGAATTCCAGATTCTAAAGCAAAATCCCTCCATGACATCTTCACTTGGATGTCTAAGAATCATCTAAAAACTTAATATGTCCAAAATTAATTCTTCCCTCTAAATCTGTGAGTGTTTCAACATCTCAGTAAATGGCACTCCCACTCACCTCAGGGCAAAGACCATGGAGCTATTCTTGAGTTCTCTCTTCCTCCCACACTCCATATCCATCCATCAACAAATCCTGGACTGACTTCATTAGGTTTGCAGGTGTACAGCCTTTCCAATTATTAAAATATGGAAATGTTTCAACCTAAGTAGATGCTGCCTCAAGTACCCAGCCTCCCCCCCCCCACCTCCCCTCCTTTCCCTTGGCCCCTCTCCTCAGATAATCAAGACTTCTCTACTTAACAACTAAAGGAATGATTCCTGGCACAGCATGGCTCATCCAGGATCTTGCTTTAGGTCCAAAACCAGCATCCATTTTGATTGGCTGGTGTCTAAGTGTCTGTACCTTACCAGTTATAAATGTCTTTAAATTCACTCCAACTAGAGACCAACTACCAATTCCCTCATTTACAACTACTATCCTAGTCCAGGCCACCATGCACTGACCTGTATGATCTGGAACGGGAGTCTCCAAACCAGTCTCCTTATTTCCATTTTGGTTCCCTTCCCACCACATTGAACTCTCCACAGTACAACCAGAATGACTAAAATATAAATCCACTCCTATCATTTTCCTACTCAAAACCCTTCAATGTTTTCTCATCATACTTCAAATAAAATAAAAAATACCTAACATGGTCTACAACCTCTATATGATTGGCTTCAGTATATACTGAATGAATGAATGAATGAATGAAAATAACCTAAGAGTTATTAAGAGATTAAGAGCATGAGCTATGGAACGCCTGGGTGGTTCCATCGGTTAAGCATCCAACTCTTGGTTTTGACTTAGGTCATCATCTCACAATTCGTGGGTGGAAGCCCCACATCGGGCTCTGCACTGTCAGTGTGGAGCCTGTTTGGGATTCTCTCCCACTCCCTTTCTCTCTACCACTCTCCTGGTGGCTGTCTCTCTCAAAATAAACTTAAAACATTCAAAAAAAAAAAAAAAGT